ACAGTATTATGAGCTGCTATTGCCGATGGCCAGCTAACTCTTTACCCACATCTCTTCACTTCACCTGCAGAATGGCTTGATGTGGATTCAATTGTTACTCCCATCATCCTGATGTAGCACAAACAGGTGAAGTAGCTTGTGCAGGGTCACACTGCCAGCGTGCCACAGTCAGGGCACAAACCCAGTAATCCAAATCCAGTCTGGGCCATCTGTGCCACACACAAAGTCTCCAGGGCTGAGGAGCTTCACTTGTCACCGATACCTACAATCCTCCCTGAGGAGTCACAGAGCACAAGTCTTCTGGTGGAGAAAACCTGCCCTGCACGGAGCCGGCCGGAAGTGGGAGGCAGGAGAGAGGCTATTTTGGAGAAGCGACATGAAAAACCACGAAACTTCCTACCTGTCCTGTTTTGCTCCCATCTGTCCTGGGAAATAAGGCTGCCCCTTTCTTAGATAAAAAGGTATTTCTCCCCACACAGTGGCTCTGCCATTGGTGCTAAGAGAGCGAGTACTAAGCTTAGCACATGTCAGCTATTTTTAAAAAGCTACACAAACAAACAGGGCTATGTAAATAAGAAAAAAATGAGGTCATCCTTTAAAATCTAAAAATGTCTCTTTTCTATGGGGTGAACAGCAAAACCTCAGAAAGGCCTGGGGTGTTTTTATCCCCTTGAAACCTTTTCAGCTCAAAGCCTCCCTAAGCCACCAGGCCCACCTTTCCCTTCCCCACACCCACTGAGGGGAGGCCAGGTGGCCTGGGAGCTTTGACTCTTAGGTTTTATTCCGGGATCTTTGGGCTTTGCCTGCAATGCCTAAAGTCATTGCTCAGTCCCAGCACAACTTTCTCAGGTTTCCATCCAGTGGGAGCCCTGAAGGGAAGAGAGCAGTGATGCTATTGACAAAGGCAACATCACTGGGTGGGCCGTGGGGTCTGAGCAGGAGCAGGGTCAGTGGTGGAAGGAGTCCTCAGGCAGCATAGAGAGGCCTGGGGAACTCCTCCCGCAGCCTGCGATGTCTCCTAGGCATCAGTGAGGACCTAAACTCAGCTGTTTGGCTGCTTGAATGACTGCTTCTGACCATATGGAACAAAAGGTGCCAAGGAGCATTGAGGGGGAGGAGCAGGAGATCGGGACGTGCACAGAGATGGTGGGGGTTTTACTGAAATACCCCCACCTCTCTTATCCTGAAACACCAAAATTAAGAGCCACCAATGTTTGCTAGAAGTTGTTTTTCAAGTTGTGCGCCACAGAAATGCTTAAGAGTACCTTCAATTATTCAAGGGACATTTTAGTTTAAAAGTATAGCTTTACCCCTATGACCACTACACCAGAAAATGAACTTGCATGTTCAGATGGGTTCCATAGCACATCGCGACCTACAGAACACAGCTAATGGCTTCTGCCAGTTTAATTTGCTTTGTGTGGGCCTTGGAATAAGGTTTTGGTAGACCTTGAACTTCAGCTCTTAAACTTCAGGGTTGAAATGTATCTTCCACCAGGACTAGTGGGTTTGAGCCCTCTACTGGGCATTTTTGTGTCGGTGTTAAGTCCAGGACCGTGCATACAAATATGCACGAGCAAGCATACACGGAAGCTTTCAGTGGCAAGAGAACATGTTGTATTCTCACATAAGCATCGTGAATGTCTGTGGGGTTCCCTGCCTCACTTTTCTTTGTGATAAGAAGGCGTTTAAGCAGTTGTTGGGCTTAGACCTGAGCTCCCTTCACTCCTCCCTAAAAGCTCAGGTGGCATGGAACTGAGGCAGGCTGCCGACGTGTTGCTGAAAATCTGTTCTCATTCACTGAGCAGGTGGGCCAGGCAAAGCAAGAAGGCAAGGACTCCTGGAGGGCTGCGGCGGGCAGGGCGATGATGCAGCAGCCATCCAGGGCGGAGAGCAGCAAGGCTTAGCTGCCTCCAAGGGACGGATGGTCTAAAGCAGCTGTAGGTAATCTGGAAGCAAATGGTGGGACTATGCTTCAGTAAAACTTTATTTACAAAATCAGGTGGTAGTTTGGCTTAGACCCAGGAGCCAGTTTGTAGGTCCTTGATCTAAAACCTCCTATTTCAATGCTTATATGCATCAAAGCAGAGCTATTGCTCTATTAATGAATTTTCATAAGTAAATGTTGAGGAAAAAGTTATAAAAATAAATGTGTATTCATAAACTGCCACTTTAATCTGATTTAAATATTGATATTCCATGTAAGATTGAACTTTTAAAAATGGCTTCTAGCAGGGCATGTTGGTGTATGTCTGTAATTCTAGCCCTTGGAGGTTGAGATAGAGTCAAAAGTTTGAGGCCAGCCTGGACTACACAGTGAGTTCAAGCCTGGCCCAGACCACATAGCAAGATTTATCAAAAACAAACAAATAAACACATAATCAGGCAATCCCCAACCCCAAAATAAAAAACAAAACCAAAAAGTCTTATGACCAAAAAATTTGAAAGTCACTAGCACAGGAAGTCTGATGCTAACAAACGTTTGCCTCTGTGCCCATTTTCAAGTTGGTTTGGTCTCTGATCAGTCACACAGATGTTGCCTTTGTTCCACATACAGCCTCAGTTCAGGCCCATCCTGGACAGGGGTGCGATCCCATGTTTCTTTGTCCTTAAGTGACTCCAATAATTCCCTCGGGAGATAGATGTTCCAAAGCCTCAGGTGGCACTAGGCTTTGCCCTGCCCTGGCGTGGGGGGTCCTGCCAGCCTTGCACCTGCTGGCTGGGACTGTGCCCTCTGCTCCCACAGGTGTCACACACTTCCACACTGGTGGGCCAGCCACGCCACAATCACCGTGGCCTCTAGCAGCACTGAGTCAGCAGCCCATTAATCATGGATGCACTGCTGTGCCCCAGGGAGAGCACGGGAGGGGGCGGGGCCATGCTGGCTGGCGCTGGCAGCTCATTTCCTGCCGGCAAGTCTCCTCCTCTACAGATTTCCCCTTGCAGCTGGCAGAACCCACGTGGACAAGAGATTTGGGGCATCAAATGGGAGGAAAAATTCCAGATGTAGGGAGGCTCCCTGGGGTAGTTCCCTCGCAGCTCTGCCTGCATCTCACAGAGGACGGGTTCTGTTTGCAGACTAGTTCAAATGCCAGTTGCATCCTTCCACTAGACCCCCACAGAGAGGTAAGCAGATGCAAAATCCCAGTATCAGAAACCATCTCAGGGTGCCAAGGAAGGGGGCCCATTCATTGGAAGGCACCACTGATTCCCACTGAAATACAGGCATTCTGAGGGAACAGTTATCCCTGACGTTATTACTGCTTTTCTTCAGCATGTGCCTTATTAGGAAAAAACATAGACGGGCTTTTGCAGCTAGAGAAAGGTCCTTTGCCCCTCACTAGCTGTTTCGCTATGTTTAAATTACTCAGCCTCTTTGTGCTCATTTCCTTATCTGTACGAAGGGAGACACAGGATCACCTTCCTTGCAGGACTCAGATTAGTTTGGAAAGCACCCTGCCCTCCCTGTGTGCAGCAAGGCTGGTCCCTTGACTTCACCCTGATTCCGGGCCCTGGAGCAGGTGGCAGCGCACAGCAGGTGGCAAAGCACAGCAGATGCATTATAGGAAGGGTGGTGGCTGAGCTGCCTGCAGCAGTGGGGGGCCCTTGCTGAGTGTCTGGCTGTGTTCTGCAGGGTTCACCTGCACGTGCACAGGGCCCCTAGGAGGCAGAGGCCCCTGCCATCTCACTATGTGAGAAAGCTCAGGCCAAGCTCAGAGCAACTTACCTCTGAAAGCAGGGAGTAGTGCACAAAACCAGTGCCTGTGGGAACCAGGCTTTGAACTCAGGGAGATTGTGCATAGCAAGCACCCCCAAAAACATGCCCCCTCAAAATGAGGCTCAGAGTTCTTCTTAGGGATCAGGAAATGCCACCAGCTCAGCAGGAGAGCCCAGGCATGCTGCCAAGCTGTGGGCAGAATCCCAGGCCTTTACCACCTCAAGTCCATGTAGCTACGGCGATGCCATCTCTCAGGTGGTTTGTGGCCTCAGGCCCTGCTCTGCACTGTGAGAAAACTTCTGCTCTCAGGAAAGGAGATGAGTCACTGTTCACAGCCAGTCAGGCTGGAAAACGCCCTTTGGATGTCACAGCGCAGACCACAGACCCAAACACAGGATGGGGTGAGCATCTCTGGAGCTCCCAGCAGCCCTGAGTACCTGAGCTCTGGATTCATCGGGATCTAAATACAGATTCCAAGATCTTCCAGCCCAGCCCTGATGGATGGGGGATGGGCATGCCTAGAAATCTACAGTCCTTCTCACTTCCTTCTTTTTAACAGCTGGCCTTCTTCCACCCTGCCAGCTCCAGGTGATCTTGACGTGCTCTGTACCAGACAAAACTCCCAAGACATGGGCCAGAGACGTAGCTCGGTGGCACAGCACCTGCCTAGCAAGTGAAAGGGCCTGAGTTCAATTCCCATACCATAAAACAAAACAAAAGAAAAACTTTCTAAGATTCTGTTACTGACCTAAGTAGCTTCTAACACGGCACACCTAAGCTGAACAACAACCTGAACATCTACCCTGAAACCGCAACACGAATCTGAGAAACTAGAAATACGTAAACATATAACGGGGATGGGGCCCCTCTGAGGCCACTGGGTGTCTCTGGAGCAGAGATCTGGCACTGGAATTTGGGGAACTCCCCAGATGATTTTGACCCGAGACCTGCCATGGGACCTACTGCCCCAGCCTGACATTCTTCCAGCCCTTCCACCAGGAGCCCTGAGGAGCTGCTGCTCTGCCCTCCAGGGTGCTGCCCGGCTCCCCTAAGCCTGCAGCGTTGCGCTTCCGGGGAACAGCATGGGGCCTGCAGGCAGTGAGGGTGCCTGGGCTCACTCCAGACCAACTGGTGGTGAGGACTGACGGACCAGCTGTCTCAGAGATGCAAGGAAGGTACTGGTAATCACAGCAACAGCACCTTCTAGGTGGAAGAGCAGAAACAAACTCATGTCTGATCAGATAATGCTTTATCGAGCCAACCCAGCAACAGTACTTCTTACCTGTGCTGAAGGCACCACTTCCGGTGGCCAAAACTCAGACGCTCTTCCCTCTGGAAACCAGTGTTCATGTCCACTCCTGTTGAAGCTGCCTCCTCTCATGCACAGCTCCTCCCTCTGAAGGACAGAGCTTTCCTGGCCAGTGTCTTTTGAGGCTTTTCCATGAATTACTCCAAGAATTGCTGAGTTTATATCTCAAATCCTGCAGAGGTAGTTGAAAGTCATGGTCAAAGAGTTTTCTTGGTAGCTTCTTCATTATTTATTTATTTATTTGTATTTTAGGGCAGGGTCTACAGTGTTCAGGGTCTCACTACTAGATCAGACTCGTAGTGATCCACCTGTTTACAGCCTCCCAAGAGCTGGTATTACAGGTATGCCCCACCACACCCAGTCTCAATTGCCATCTCAGTGCGCCCCGGGGGCGGGGCCAGCCCAGCAGGCCCCAGGATTGAACCCCTGGCCCCTGCACCTGCTCACAGGTGCTTTAATCCCCTGAGTTACTTGGCCAGCCCTTGTGAGCTTCTCTAAACACAGAAGAATTTCTGCCTGCTCCCAGTGAGCCAAGGCCTCAGCTCCTTTCAAGCTGGTTTTCTTGGTGCAGGATCTGATTCCCACCTTCATCAAGGAGATGGTGTGGCAACACTGGAACCTACCCTACTATGCCATGCCAACCCTAAAGTTCCTGAACCTCTGATTTTTCCACCAGTGTGATCAGTAGGATTTTACGAAAGTCCTCAAAGCTCTCCCCACCCCAGCACGGGTGTATAGTCCTGTGCAATCTCTGGGACGAGGGATACGCTGGATGGCAAGGTTTTGCTACAGGGCACAACTGGCCTTCAAAGAGGGAGATTATCAAGGAATGAGCTAATCAGGAAAGCTCCAAAATGAAGAGTTTTGTCTGGCTAGTTACAGGTGAAAAATCAGAAGGATTAGAATTAGAATTCAGCATGCCTTGCTGGTTTGCAGATGGAGGGGCTATTTGGGAATGACCTGGAGCAGCTACTAGATGCTTGAGAGGAACAGCCCAGCTGACAACCAGAAAGAAACAGAGCCTCAGTCCTACAACCACAAAGTGCTGGGTTTTGTCAATACCCAGCGTGAGACTGGAAAAGCAGAATGTTCTTCAGAGTCTCCAGACAACAACTCAGATCCCAACACCCTCATATGAGCCTGAGTGAGTCCAGCCACTCCATGAAGACTTCTGACCCACAGAACTAAGCCAACAAAGGGGTGTGGCATTCAGCCACTAAGTGTATTGTTAAGCAGCAGAAGAAAACTAATGCACCTGTACAGGTGACTGGGGCTGGGGCCCAGGTGAGCATTAAACACAGTCATCGACATAGGAGCACATTGTATTCCCCAAATCACTAAACAAAACAGAATGTTCAGAGCCAAGGGAAGCCTGGGTCAGGGCAGGGACTCAACAATGATTACTGAATGGATGAATGGATGAGTGCACATTGTTTCTTAACAATTGACTTAGCAGGCTGCTGTTAAGGCTCAAATAAGAAAACTCAGAGGAGAGTGCTTCCTAAACCAGAAAACGTGAGTTGATTTTGTCACTTGTAGCATGGCATGTCACATCCATACTATACCCTTTGACTGTGTTCTATTTGTGTGCTCTAGACAGTATGGTGGGATGGCTGAGAATGGTTTTCATGGTTAGGGCAGCTGAGTTCAAGCCCTGGCCCTTCTACTTACGACCGCAGTAGCCTTGGATAGTTGCTGTAACTGCAAAGGGGGCTGCAAATGGCATGAAGCTCCCAGGTCTTTCCTGAGTCAGTTCTCATCAATAGCCTAGAACAGCACCTCTCATGTGATACAGCTCACAGAATTGCTATGGATTTTGTTTCAGAATGGAGTTTGACAGTCCAGGACTGGCGTCACCAATGCACAGGCCTGGGGCACTGTCCCCTTGCTCCTCCTGGGCAATTTGCTTTGCACTCCCCCGACCTTGGGATGATTAGTTCTGGGCAACACATTACACTGCGGAGTCCCATAAAACACACAGGGTACCAGATCCCCTCTGCTGTTCTTACCTAACATCACTGCCACTGAGAAATCCATCCAGCCCTGCTTCATACCCCAACACACCATCCCACCCTGCACGTGGTGAATCTATCGTCTCCTGATTCTGCCATCTGAGCCATCCAAAGTTTTCACAACTCCACAATTCTCCATTATTCCTAAATCTAACCTACAGCCTTTTAACAGATTACATTTAATAATTTTAAAGATGGTAGCCTGCTATTCTTCCCTGAGGTCTCAGGACATACTGACTCCACTATTCCCTATGTCCAAGCCTTTGCTTGAGCAGTCTCTTCTTGCTGGAATACCCCTCACACACACGTGCAGCCATGTCTACTATACCCAATTCTGCTCATTCTCCCTCCACGTGTTTAGTCATCAGCCACAAGGCTGGGCATGAGTTCTGCCCCCTGTACACCCAAAGCACATTTGCTGTGTCTCTCTTAAGTCTAAGGAGGGGGAGGGAGCAGAGGGGAAGAGGAGAAGAAGAAGGTATGTCATATACATGTACCAGCTCCCTATGATGAATGTGATTATCATGTAGTTACTGAAAACATGTACTATTTTCTTAAAAAGCCTAACAAGTGCCCACCATACATAAAGACATCATTAGCTACAAGTCCTTTAACACTACACAAAGCCAAAATGGGGCCCAATAGGTGCCTCACAGAATAGTCAGTGCCCAAAGCCCCTTTAGAGCAAAATTTGATGTGATTCATTCATTCCACAGATGTGCATTCATTGCCTGTTTGGATTGGATCAGATGGTGGTTCCTGAAGATAAAAGATTACCAGGATGTAGCACCCTTTGTGGGGACCACAGTGGAGTAGTCCATTTTGATAGCATCCAAGTGTGCCTATGAGAGAAGCAGAAGGGGAGAAGGGATACCTCACAGAATCAGAACCCCAAGTGGCTACGGTGGCCAAGAAATCATATGTTATCCCAGGGACTGGAGCAGACTGGTACTAATGGTTGTGAGGGCCGAGGAGGGCAGGGAAGGAGCAGGAAGGTCTGAATGAGGAAGAAGCCTAGACTGGCCAGGAAGCAAAATCACAGAACCACTCTGATCCATGAGGTGATACCGTCAGGACAAGGGGTGTGGCTCAGGGTAGATGGGGCAGGGTGGGCTCAGGGAGACTTCTGCGGGACCCACAGCAGTGAGACAGTCACTGGTGCTGCAGGACAGAAAGCTGCTCCACCACATCCATGTCCACAGTTCTCCGAAAACATCATGTGGAACTGAGTTTCTAGATGCGAGACTGAACCCACTGGCTACCTCTCACAACCCAAACATGGCTCAAATAAAAGAATGCATAAAGGAGGACAGATTCACATAGCTTGCTGGGAAGCCTGCAGAGACAGACGGAAGGGGAGCAGAATCCTTGCTCGGGCCACACTGACCTCACCTGCCCTGGCAGGGACAGCCCATGTGGCCGAGCAGGAAACCTGCTCAGAGGCAGTGGACCACAATCTTAGTAGAAGAGAATCCTCTGGGATTAAGTGGAGCAGAGGAAAGCCAATAAGAGCAGAGAATATCCACCTTGTATGGCCTTCGGGTGCATGGTTTTCCCTATCCCAGAGGCCTCTAGCTTGGAACGACTCGATGATTTATTACAGAAGCTTCTTGAAGAATCCCTCCACTTTGAAGCAACAGTTTGTGCTCTAAGAATTTTTGCATCTCTTGCCTTGCCTTAAAACTCTTTCCATCACTGGGTGCTCCTGTCCTGGACTACTGGGTCATAGGCCATGCACAGTCCTGAGCAAGCTACTGCATTCCCCTCTTCATCTGAGGAAACATCTCCTCAGTGAGCCACCTTGCCTGCTCCTCCCAGACACACCAGTGCTCTGTAGAGCTGCTGTTTCCTCTTCCCCGCATGAGTGATGACCTAAGGTTAGTCTCACCAACACACTGTCTTGATAATATCTGGAGACTTGGCATTTAAAAGTCTACAAAGATGTTGCAAAACATTGACACTGGGCTCAATAGCTCCCTTATTAATTGCTAGAGGGCAATAAGGCAAAGACCTCAGAGCTTTGAGGTAAAAGAGTTAAAATTATGAGATCAATTACTCACCCAAGTCTCAAAGTGAAAGAGAGAAGCACTAAAATAGGATGCCACCCACTTATCTATTCTTAAAAAAATTACTCAAGGAATTTTCCAACAAAATAAAAACTATCAGAATAAGTAATTCAAGAAAAGGCAAGATAGGATACACAACGACAGTGAAGATGGGACTGAAAAAAGCACAGTCACATCTAAACAAATGACCATAATCATGAGCTCATCTTACTGGGGACTAGATGCCATTTAATTCTTGACATGAATACACAAATACTTTTTATTGAAAGATTACCAGTTCTAAAAGAAAAGGAAGATGAAGACATTTTAAGCCACTGTGGGGAGGGGGAGGGGAGAAGATAAGAACAAAAAAAAAACATTCAATTAATTTTGCAAAAGTTAGGAAAGGAAAAATTAAAGAAAAAAGGAAAAATATAGTAAACAAAAGACATAAAATAAAATTACAAAAGTAAGATCAAGCATATTGATGAATACAGTTAACATGAACACATTAAATTACCTTATTCTGACTTAAGAGACCAGTATAAGTTAAAGAAAAAAAAAAATCAGGCTATTTGCCATTTTGAAGAAATATACTTAAAACATATTGGCAAAGAAAGGTTGAAATTTCTTTTACAACAGAAAAATTAATATGTATAAGCAACATTAAAATTAAAACTTGCATATCAAAAGACTCCACAAAAGTAAAAAAATTAAAATACTTGGCTATACATAAATGTAAAACTTTGGACTAGGGTAATAGTTCAGTTGGTAAAGTACTCATGCGTAAGGCTCTGGGTTCTAGCACCACCACTGCAAAAAAAAAAAAAAAGAAATGTAAAACTTTAATAAATAAAATCTCTGTAAATAAAATACAGATAATAGTTGAAATTAAATGATACATTCACGAGGCTTACAATACTTTTCTACTTTTATATATGTTATCTATGTTCCTTTTTTTGAAAGCTGTTAGGTTGACATTTTTAAAAAATGTAAAGAGAGTTGTAACAGGCTAAGTGATAACAAAGAGAATGCAGGAAGGTCAATATTAATCTCAAACTGCAAAAATATTAGGAAAGTTGTGCATTTTATATTTCTAAGGGATCTCGTTCTCC